CCAAGCAGCAAAACAGGGCATCCTGACCAATCCAAAGCAAAATTGCCCTAATTAAGACAATAATGACTAAATTTCGACCTAAAATATGTCATAAAAGTAATATTATATTTGAGGTTTTCTTCGCAGGTAAAAAATTACCTAATTTCAACGTATTAATGTTTTCAAAGTCCATTTGCGTTTAAAGTGTTCTTGATAGGTAAAAAATTACTTAATTTTGATCTAGTAAATTCTCTCAGAATCTGGTAATGATTAATAAGTTTCTGAGGTTATAAATTACCTAATATCGAACTGTATTTATGCCTTCAAAGTCGAATAGACTTTCAAGTTGTCAAAATAAGGTAATTATTGACTTAAAGACATTCGTTGATATTTCAATGATGTCACTGCTAACTTCGAAGTCGAGATTACCAAGGAAAGTTACCTATTAGGTAAATTTAGTCAACACTTGATCCAAATGACCAACAAAATTGACTTCAAAGTACATTGAATCAGTCTTGCCCTAAAAGTTCATATAATCCTGTATGTCAATTTTGAGTCTTCTACTTCACATAGTACACTCTTGACTGATTTATATATAATATAGGTGTGTAGTATAGAAACAATTAAATAAGAAACAATTAAAAAAGAATGTCAGAGCGAACCAAGTATAAACCATATACATGTCTTTTCATTCCCCACTTACGTCAGATCTACGTAGATTTGACGTTCATTAGGTCAGGTCTAACAGACTTTCGGACCTATCTGGAGGTCAATTGAACGTATTTTCGACTAATTTTGCTGCTTGGGTAATTATCTGTAAATGGACGATTTCAAGACAGAGATATTAATAATATAGATAAATGGATCAATAATTATTTGTTTAAATCCATATTGTCTTGATTTTAACGAAATTTCAAACTGAAACATATAGTTTTAATATTTTATTAATTACGTAGCTTATATAAAGAGTTCCTATGAGATATTGACGTAAAGCTAATAACGTAGTTTAACAGATAAATATTGGCTAAATCTGTTACAATTGCATGTGATTTATAATAATGCGATGATCGTTGCATTGTTAAAGTTTACGCTATCCGAGATCGCTATCTCGCGTGCAAAAATGCGGACTATTCGAAACGGATAGCAAGAAGAATATATTGTGCACCTACATGGACAACAATCGCGTGCATTCACACACGTATTATAACACTGCCAAATTGCCTCTTTACGTATAAATGTGTAATACTTTAGCTGCGATTTACTACGATTGTAGAATAATGCGCGTCTCGCGTGCGTCGTGTCGCAGGCTCGCATAATCATATTTGTAACCAGGGCCGGCAACTTATCTCGCCCGTGGATATGGAATTTTTTACTAACGAAAGGAAGATGGAGGGAGGAATAAAAGATGACAACCCTTCTTTATTTTTTATTTATTTTGTGCTATTTGTTACCTTTTTACAATTGCGAATTACAACGCGCGCTCTGTCTAATAGTCGGTAAGGAATATCATTTATATTGGTCGTAATCATATGCCGTAATTTGTAAGAATTGATTAATCATATTCGAGTATTCCCCTCTCATTCAATTGTAAGAGAGGAATATTTGACTGTGATTAGTCAATATTCTTACAGATAACGGTATACAGTGCACGGTCAGTACAAATAATCCCTATAAAAGTTGAATTTCTGCTATGCGCGCAATTGTACTGCCACGAATATCGGTCGACATCTGCACACATTTTAAAAAAATTACATATGATTTTTAATCTAATTCTTGGATAATTCCTTGGGTGTGGATTTCACTACTCTAGATTTTGGGTGTGGAGTGCTCCACGATTCCACACTACAGTTGTCGGGCTTGTTTGTAACCACGCACGACATAACTGTTCAGTCGATCGTCTTTTAACTACCTCGTACGGAGGATTCGTGTGTACGTTACGTGCGATCGTATGTCGAGCATATGCGCATGCAAGCGATATACGCGTAAATACGTTCGTACGTTGCACCGACTTGATAAATGGGTCCGACAATAATTCGAATCGTTAAGTCGTTTAGGTCTCTGATTGGAATTACATGGCCTAGTATCGAACAATCGCGTTCGATACATTTAGGTTTTACAGCTCTAAAGAATTATTACTCGCGTATCTTTTATCGGTCGTTCGAAAATATCGACTTGATAAAAGATCTGCATTTATTTCGTATTTATAATTTTCCATTTAAGAATAGCTTCGATTTAGCTTCACGTGAGAAATCATTTTCGACTCTAAATCTACTGTAATTTTAGATCTAGCGTTTATATGAAAACCACATGTTTTGTTAAATAATTGTATTTAGATGTTGCATAAGCGATTAGCGTAAGTTATTTATACTTTAGTGAACATAAAAATCGGAGTGTAAGTCAAATGCAGGGTGGTTAAAAGTAGGGATTTCTCCTTAACGTAAGGAATTTTTACCTCAAAAAAGGCGTAGGGAATTTTAAAAAAGATCAAAATGTAAGGATTTTTAATTTTGATCTTTTTTAACTTAAAATTCCCTACGTTGAGGAGAAATCCCTACTTTTAACCACATAGTCAAATGTGAGGAAATGAAACGAAATGTTAAAAGATATTTATATTTCTTAGAAGTTTCATTTACGCTCCTTTATATTCAACTTATTTTATTCTCGTCGCTCCGATTTTTATTTTCGTCATGATATTAAATATTTCTACAATATCGTATGCTACAGTTAAAACACGCTTATAATATGATGTATAAATTTTTACAAGTTCTATCAATAAATATTTATAATAAAACAGATACTTATTTACTATTGTTGCGGCTGTGTTTAATATTCACTGAAGATGACTCCAAAATGAGTCGAAACGTTTGACGAAATAAATGAAGATGGTTATCAATATTTGAATATTCATCTGCATTTCCTAAATATAGGAAATTTATTGCGTTACATTTCCTAAATTTTCACTCTTATATTAGCCTTTGTCCGAATTTATTGTTTTGCTTATTTACTATTATGTATAACAATTTCAACGAAATTCAAACGCTGAAAGTACAATGTGACTGAGTCACGACGCGCGACATCCTTCAGCCAGAAATTTTTCAACGAGATGTTTAGAACTCTCTTTACAGCAGGCTTTTGTCTTCATGCGGATGCATACCGAGAAACCTGAGAGTCCGGGCCGACAAGCTGGAATCGTCACGGCCGGAACTGCAACCATTATGTTCTCTCGGGAAATGAGAGGCGACGAGAAAAAGAAAGACGTTGCTGGGAAGCTTTGTGCCTGTGTGTCGGCGCACTTGGACTTCAAACCCCGACGAGACGCCGTTTATTTTCTTTGTTCTATGTCATTCTTGCTTCAAACCCACAGATCAAGCGCCGTTGCGATCGATCGATGCAATATATCCATAGCGAGTGTTTCAGAAACGGGTACCTCTATAACGGGGCTTATATCGCGGCTAAGCACATGCGTATAGAACCCGTAACTTTGTGCTGATTGCAAATGAGCATGGAGATAGTCAAAATTGATTTTGCCAGTAATGATCATAACGGTATTTCTTTTACTTTTACCTTGAATTATCGTATTCGTAGAGGAAATTATAGGAAGACTCAGACATTCAGTTTCCAGAGTCCAATTAGTCAGAGAGTTAATAATAGCGGATGTTGGATTTCCGGATGTTGAAGATAACAATTTTCGAAGATTTCTCCCCATAAACGCAATTATGCGAGAAGCCATTAAAAGAGAAAAATCTTACTTAAAATTATAGCTCAAAATCAAAAGGCTATAAGAATGTTTGTTTTATCTATTAATTTAATTTACTTTTATTTTGTTTTTATGTTCATAAAAAATAAAAATCAATTTTACATCATAAATAAAGTGACCGTAAAAAAAGCTGGACTTAAGTCACTATTCCAGCTTTTTTTGTAATCACTTTATCTATGATGTAAAATTAATTTTTATATTTTATGGATATAAAAATAAAATAAAAGTAAATTAAATTGATAAATAAAACAAACATTCTTAATACTTTCTACTTTTACGATAAACGCATTTTTCCTAATTTTGGACTTATGCCACTTGTCAACTACGGGGCTCATATATATATATTTATATTTATATATAATGCTTTATTTTTTCTTTTAACTAATTATATGGTATTCAGTTTATCATACGATTTTTAATGCAAAGCCAGCTCTAAGAAATAAACAGCTTCTTCGCTCCAATAGTTACTGCCAGACACTTTTTGTATAATAATACAAATTTTATGACATCGTATTTATTTGAGTTTGAAACACATATGTTGCTCTTATACGGTAACTTGAACTTTTGATCGAATATTCGAAACGTTACCCGAGGTTGACTCTTGTCAGTTTTGAAAAGGGACCATATTGTCTAAAAGTGGAAAAATATGACAGGAAATCTGGAAAACAGATGTGCATTTCCAGGACAATGTTATATGATTATACACTTATATTACAGACCCTGCTGTCTAAATGATTTGGGTCAGGTCAGAATTGACATTTCCTTCGTTTGTAGCTTTTATCCTAATTTCTTTACTTCCAGATAAGTTGCGGATAACCTTATCCAGGAGATATCTCCATTGTATTCTGGGAGATATTTCTTGAGGATGAAGTTATGTAGAGGTGAAGAAATTGGGCATTAATCGTATAAAGGAAAGGACAATTTTTCATAGAAATATCTAAAAGTGTAGATACAGATTTGAAGATAATTTTGTTGAAATTATCTTCAAATCTGTATCTACCCTTTTAGATATTTCTATGAAAAACTGTTCTTTCCTTTATACGACTTTGTGAACGCAGTTCTTAACAGCAATGATCTTCCAAAGGCATTATATACGTGTTCGCATACAGTCGCAATGAATATATGCCAATGGCGTGTGGTACTTGCAGGAATCGAATGTCGAATGCGTGTATGCAATACAGAACGTGGTTCATTTTTCGTCAAAGGATTATTGTACCGGATCTTCATGAGAA